CAGCTGCTTGGCGATGGTCTTGTAGCCCATTCCAGCCTTGTGTAGGTCCACAATCTTGTCCCTGACATCCTTGGAAAGCTCTTTGGTCTTGGCCATGGTGAAGAGTTTGGAATCTGGATTGATTGATTGCTTCTGTGGACAGGTCTCTTTTATACAGGTAACGAGCTGAGAGGGCTCCAATGTCAGCTTGTTACCTGTATAAAATACACCTGGGAGCCAGAGATCTTGCTGACTGATAGGGGATCAAATACTTATTTCATTCATGAAAATGCAAATTAATGTATAACTTTTTTGTAATGCATTTTTCTGGATTTTTTTGTTATTGTTGTGTCTCTCACTGTTCAAATAAACCTACCATTGACATTGTAGACTGATCATTTCTTTGTTAGTGGGCAAACTTACAAAATCAGCTGGGGTTCAAATAATTTTTTTCCCTGACTGTAAATGCAGCTGGAGAGTTAATCAGTGAAAGTTGCATTGGAAAGCTGCAGGATGCTTCACCTGTTGACCGCTCAGAAATGGCCCTCTCACCATGACTGGAGCTCAGTCTTTTGTTCAGCTGCCATCAGCACATGTAGTGTTCTGTCTAGCTGAACAAAACGCTATCCCCTAACTCACGACGGGGCAGGTGCCAGTCAGAGCCGGCAGCTGGGGTTCAGTCACTGTCTTGCCTGCTGTTGAAAGGTCCGTTTAAAAGGCACCTCTGCGACTGATATTGAATGTATCACAGCGGCAAAGCTTTTGTCACTGTAAAGTTTGTGGCCTGTTTGACCTGTTGGCCAGCACAGAGGTGAAAAAGTTGTCATGCCTGAGGAGATACTTGGACTGCTACCAAGTAGGATGTTGACACAAAGGGACTGATGTTTTACACACACTTCATCAGAACAGGTCTGCAGTGTAACAGAGCTGCAGGACAATTCTAGTTTTTCACCATGTCACAGAGTTTGTGCTCAGCACTGTTTTCTTTGTATGATAGCAAGCACCAGCGCTGGCCTTGTTTCTTGGCTCAGCATTTTTAAGAGGTTATATTTCTTCAAAACTAATGACCTAACTCAGGAAGTATTATACAGCCATCTAGGATGTCACTGTAAATCTTTTTGGCATTTAAGAAAAACATTTTGTTCCTGTGGTAGTCCTTTGAATCTCTTCCCGGGATAGGACCATTTCTCTTACGAAAGCTAAAGGTATAGCTATAAAATGTGTTCGTATATTCACTTTGCAGCAGGATCATTGATCCATACCATGAAGAAATTAATTGTAGTCTTGTTTTGTTTGTCAAGAATGACCCTGGGAACACACTGCTCCATCTGTGAGCCAAGTTGCGTGACGTTCTCAAATGTGAACTGCGCCTGTTGTTCCGGGTTCCAATGGTTTAAAGATGCATCTGAGCTCAACATTAGTCCTTCTCAGAAAATCTGTCACTGTCTGTCTTGATTGGCCAGAGCCTCCTGACAGATCAGAGTTTCTGGCACTGCTGTCAGGACATGTAATGAGTTGACAAGCAGCCAACTTCTCACAGGATCACACCTCATAGTGAGAAGTCAACGCTCATGGAGCAAGCACACAACTATAGCAAGGCTGTGTGTTAAGTTGAAAACGTGTGACAATCTGGACATCCACTTCTCAGTGGAGTAGTATAAGTGTGACAGTATTATAATGGCTTGTATTCCAAATGTCCGGTGATGTTGAGAAGCTGGGGCTCAGTCTTTGTCCCTTTGTCTCTTTGTGTGGCAGTGGTAAGGAAACAGCTGCTATCAAACAGCCACATTTAAACCTGATCAGCGCATTGGGGAACACACTGAAATGCTATTTCCATTCTTGGCTGTATGTATTATTGGTCCCATTGCTATTTTCCCCTCCCTTCTCTCAAGGGCATGGGGGGTTTTGGATTACGGTACATGTTCCTCTGAAATCAGAATCTGGACATTGACATTGCTACATTTTATCAAAGGGTTGTTTTTTTGTTTGTTTGTTTTAGATTCCTAGATATTTGCCAGGCTTGTTGGGGCTTGGATTCTACGTACCAAGTTCTTGATCGGAGTCTTTTGTAACAAACTGACACAATTTGCATTTTTAATTAAGTAGGCCTTTATGTAGACTACACCCATGGAACTGTGCCATAACCTGTGCCATTTCCCCAGTTTATGTGCCATTAGGAAGCTGAATTGGGTCACTGCAATTGTGATCTACCCAAATTGGCCTTTTCCTTTGGGACAGGTCTTTTGAGGCTCAGAAGTCCTTCATTTCCTCCTTTTTTTGACTCTTCTTATCTCCCACTGCAGCGATGGCAGCACTGCTCTGCTGCTGTGTGGCACAACAACCACCTTTTACTGAGCTTCACCACTTTAGTTTACACTAATTCTGAATTACTGACAACTTCTTATCTGTTAAAGCTTCATGTAGCCTGTACACACAAATGTAGCATTGATCTGTACACTGTGCAGGTGGAATCAAACCTCTTGTGTTAGTAGAGTGTTATCCACGTGGTGTCAAACATACTTTGGTCTTGTGTACTGTATGAGGTTGTATGAGGTTTCAGCTGTGTGATGTGCTGCTGTCATTGTTATGAACATTCAGTCAGATGCTTGATGTAAAATGTAAAAAGCTTTTAACTATTTTGTTTGATTCCACTATATATTTTTATGTGGTCATGTTCTTGATGTTTTGCCAGTTTTATTTGTTGTGTTTTGTCCCTAATTGTGAATCTCTCTGCTTGTAGTTGGAGACAAGGTACCTGCTGACATTCGTATCTGTTCAATAAAATCAACAACTCTGAGGGTGGACCAGTCCATTCTGACTGGTAAGACAAGTCTGATAATGACCTTACACCCATCAAATCATTTTACTGTGCCATTTTTATCAATCTAGTTCTCAGGTTGTCCTAGTAATGTTGATCTTGTTGAATAGATGAACTACAAAATTGTATTGATTAGTTTATTTTATGACTTTACCTTTAATATGTGTATATTTTATATACTGGAGAACTGACACCATTCACCTACATGCTGGACCAGTACACATTTTATATTATAATACATATTACATATATTTATAACATTTTTATCCTTTTTATGTTTTTCCTCATAATTCTCTAACATTTTTTAAATTATTAATATTTCACACTAATCTTCTTAGCACAGCTTCAAGACTATCCATCCGGTATTGTCATTCTGTAATAAATAGAAAGTTTCATATGTTTAAAGCTTGTCTAAAGATTTAGACATCAGGTATTTCTTAGTCTTAAGATTATTTGAACTGGCTGTAGAATGAGTCCAGAAACGTATCATGACACTGTTTCCAATTAGCATGTTTGCTTCTGAATTGAATCATTCATGTGTGTGTGAATCATCAGTGATCAGCACCACAGATAACTGGCCTGTGTTGTCTTTGTAGGTGAGTCTGTCTCGGTCATCAAACACACTGACCCTGTGCCCGACCCACGTGCTGTGAATCAGGACAAGAAGAACATGCTTTTCTCCGTAAGCTCAGCAGCTGAGCCAGTTCATCCTGTTGATGTCCTTCAGCTTCTTGTTTGTTTAGTTCCTGTCAGCTTCCTAGATAGACTCCCTCTTGTTATTATTTGAAGATGTGAGGTGTTATCCGATGTACTTGAACCAACATGTATGTAATTGTTATTTCAGGGTACCAACATTGCAGCTGGGAAGGCTGTAGGTGTGGTTGTTGCCACCGGTGTTAACACAGAGATCGGCAAGATCCGTGACGAGATGGTGGCCACTGATCAGGAGAGGACACCCTTGCAGCAGAAGTTGGATGAGTTTGGCCAGCAGCTGTCCAAGGTCATCTCCGTCATCTGCATCGCCGTCTGGATCATCAACATTGGACACTTCAATGACCCCGTCCATGGAGGCTCCTGGATTCGTGGGGCCGTCTATTACTTCAAGATCGCTGTGGCGCTGGCCGTGGCTGCCATCCCCGAGGGTCTTCCTGCTGTCATCACTACCTGCCTGGCCCTGGGCACTCGCCGCATGGCCAAGAAGAACGCCATCGTCCGCAGCCTACCTTCTGTCGAAACCCTGGGCTGCACCTCTGTCATCTGCTCTGACAAGACAGGAACTCTGACCACTAACCAGATGTCTGTTTGCAGAGTGAGTCACACACACAAACATAAACACATTCTTGGTGCAGGACTAAACAATTTGGTTTTGTCATCTTTGTTGTCGCTGCTTGGTCTTTGGATAAGGGGGCGAAGCTGGAAGGACTGTGGCTGCATAAGTCACTTTTGACACATGTCAGCTAAAATGCTAATACCTTCTATACAAACAGAGACAGGTTGTTCTTTGTCATCCGCTATCCGTTATTTAACAAGAAGGCAACATGCTGCTGCTCCTCTAATCTGCAGTGGGTTGTTGGGTGAGTTGCAGTGCTGCTGTTGCATAACTGACCTTGCGTCACAAGCTGCAAAACAGCCAGCCTATAGTTCCTTCTCCTCTCTCTTTCTGTGTGGCATCCCAGCGCTACTTGGCCCCACATTAAGAACTCATCTCAGCACTGATTAAAATTTCATCCTCCCTCAGCCTGTTCAGTGCTTCATTTACAGTTTTATCAAACAGTTGTTTAGGACTCTGTATTGTTTGGGTCGTATATTGCACTGGCCATGATTGAATAGCCTTACAATTCTGCAACTACGGCTGTGATTTATTTATTGGGCAATTTATAGTTATTGATAGTGAGCCACATATTGAACCACTGAAAGGAGAAAACATTTACACTCAGTTTATGCAGACAAAACCCTTTAAAGAGGTTTGCTAATTAATTATTTACACACCTGTATCATAATAAAAGGTATTTTTAATGAATTGGAATGAAAATTGCTACAGCAAAAGCTAATGGCTGAAAGAATTACCACTTGCATACCCAGAAGAACATGTATTTACAAGTGCTTTGCTTCCTGACAGTAGATCTCACGAGCGAGAGTTTGCAAGATGTGTACAAACCGAGTTGCTTCTGCATAGAAATACTAAAACATATGTACATCTAATTTTTTTTAAGCTTTATGTCATGTCTAAGATGATAATTCACTGTTGTAACATTGTAGAAAAGGTAAAAAACAAGGAAAAGCATGCCATGGGCTCTTTAATGTTTTAGACTTACCATGATCAGTTTTGAATTTAAAAAAAAAATTGTTTCTAAAACGATTCAAATGGAATAGGGTTAGGTTGCTGTGATCATCAGAGATGTTTTAATGTTGCTTTGATTTCACTGATCGTCATTATCTGTGTTATGATGAACCAATCCCTGACTAGCTGTGTATTTATATGCCAAGGCTTCCTGCAGGAACAAGCCTGGCACTGCGGCCTCTTCCTTTTTGGCACAGCTTCTCTCTTTACCAAGGCTCCGTGTCAGTCCTCTCTGTTTACTTATGGAGAGAAACTAAACACTATTTTCTCACATTAGGAAGCGGGCCACCCAGCTGGGCCCTCACGCTGACACACTGTCACACTGCAGCCCAGTCTACTGTCTGTAAAGAGCCCTAGAGCGTGGGTGCCACCCGGACGTCTGTGGTTTCTGCTGCCATCTGCTGTGCCAGTAAAGAAACTGGCAGCTGCTACAGACACTGATACACTAGGTATTAAATTGTGTTTGCTTTGAGAAAACACTTATTTGTTTTGTCCCACCTGCTCTTCTGATCTCCAGATGTTCATTATCACCAAGGCTGAAAGTGACAGCTGCTCTCTGACAGAGTTCACCGTGACAGGTTCGACTTATGCACCTGAGGGAGAAGTGTGAGTACTTCACAGCTGACTCTTGGTGAAAAATATGATTAAATCTTATTGATTTATTTGAATTGTAGAGTAAATGTAGGTTAAATGTGGAATATGGGATTAAAGATGATATTCCCACCTGCAGACACTAGGATGGAGATTAGCAGCAAGGAGAGTTGTTCCTGTTGTTAGGGTGTAAACACCTCTGTTAAGTGTACATGCACACACTCACAGACTGATACTGTGTCCATGTCCTCAGGTACCAGGATGGTAGACCAGTGAGATGCTCCCAGTATGATTCCCTGATTGAAATGGCCACCATCTGTGCACTGTGTAATGACTCCTCCCTGGACTTCAATGAGGTCTGAACCCTGTCTGCTTCTAACTTTACATGTCTGACATGTATACAGTGTAATATTAGCCTTTTTTCTTAATTATTATTGCATTTCATAGGGACTTTATGCAAGAATAATGTAAAGTCACAGTGTTTCAATACACCATATAAATAGGTGGTAAATGAAAAGCTTCAAATGAAAACCAAATGTGACAAAACAAGTGGTAAATAAATATACAAATAAACTAAATAAACTGGTAGACCAATCAGTAAGTACTGATGGAGGTAAATTAAATCAGTATGGCCAGCCAAATATATTGATAAATATGCAAATATGTTCATATATATATATATAACCATGTACAGAAACATACACACACCTGTTCAAATATTTACATATACAGTGGAAAGTATTTAGACCCTTTCACTTTTGCACACCGTATTGTGTTATAGATTTAGTTTTAAATTGATAAACCTGCCATTTTGCCCATTAATCTACAATCAATAACCCACAAAGACAAAGTGAAAATATGTTTTAGACAACTCTGAAAATCTATTAAAAATCAAAAATCGTTGTCCCTATACATTCCTAGATACAGATGCACACATTTTCCCATAAATAGAAAATCATCTGTACATGTGCAAATGCCGATACATCGCATGTATCAGTGTCAGTGTCACACTAAGTACCACATAGGCACGCTAAAGGCATGTAAAACTGAAGACCTTGTTGGGTTAGGACCTCTTTAAACAAATTAAAATGTGTTCATGGCTGTGCAAGAGGAAAATGTGTGAATAATATGGATGGTTTTGATGTCTCAGGTGAAGGGTGTGTATGAGAAGGTGGGTGAGTCCACAGAGACCGCGCTGACCTGTCTGGTGGAGAAGATGAATGTCTTCGACACTGAAGTTCACAACCTGTCCAAGATTGAGCGAGCTAACTCCTGCAACTCCGTATGTGACTCCAGCTCCCTCTGCACATTTCCACTGCTCCCACTCAGCACGTTTGCCTCACTCTGTCCTTGTGTCTGATCAGGTGATCAAGCAGCTGATGAGGAAGGAGTTCACTCTAGAGTTCTCCAGAGACAGGAAGTCCATGTCTGTCTACTGCACCCCCAACAAGTCCCGGTCTTCCATGGGCAAGATGTTTGTCAAGGTATGCTGAAAGGAACATGTAATGAGGACTGTGCTGAGCTGTTGATACGGATGGTTAGCTATCATGTTGATCTAACCTACAGGGGGCCCCAGAGGGAGTCCTAGATAGATGCACTCATGTCAGAGTTGGCAACAGCAAAGTTCCCCTCAGCAAAGGTATCAAGGAAAAGATTTTGTCTATGATCCGCGAGTATGGGACAGGTCGTGACACTCTAAGGTGCCTAGCTTTGGCCACACGAGATAACCCGCCCAAAATGGAAGATATGGTACTGTCTGACATCACCAGGTTCTTGGATTACGAGGTGAATTTTCATTTAATATTTGGTACCATTGTTTAGATAAGGAAATTTGCTAGATTTTGTGTATATGCTGTTTGTAGAACGTTCTTTTCAGAACCAAGCTTTCGGTCACGTCTTTGTCTCTCTGTGCCCAGTCCGACCTGACTTTCGTCGGCTGTGTCGGCATGCTGGACCCTCCCAGGCAGGAGGTGGCTGCTTCCATCGAGCTGTGCCGTCAGGCTGGGATCCGCGTCATCATGATCACCGGGGACAACAAGGGCACAGCTGTGGCTATCTGCCACCGCATTGGCATCCTGACCGAGGAGGATGATGTGGAACACATGGCCTTCACTGGACGAGAATTTGATGAGCTCTCACTCCAAGACCAACGTGAGGCTGTGACTCATGCTCGCTGTTTTGCTCGTGTCGAGCCTTCCCACAAGTCCAAGATTGTCGAGTTCCTGCAAGGATGTGACGAGATCACTGCTATGGTATGACAATCTAAAAACTGACTGTGCAGGGTTTCTAACACTCATCATCAGCAGTTAACATTTTATTTGAAATATATGAAGTTGGTCTTAAATCCATGTTTGGCTAACTGAAAATGTAAAACCTGTGGGTGTCCTGTCATTGTTGGCTTTATAAGCATCATGTTCATTTGCTGCTATTAGAGAACAAAGGGATTCTGCTCTATACAACACAATGTTTGTGTACAGACAGGTGATGGGGTGAACGATGCCCCTGCCTTGAAGAAGGCAGAGATTGGCATCGCCATGGGCTCTGGCACTGCCGTGGCCAAGTCAGCCTCGGAAATGGTCCTCGCCGATGACAACTTCTCTTCTATTGTGGCCGCTGTGGAAGAAGGCAGAGCTATTTACAATAACATGAAGCAGTTCATCAGATACCTTATCTCTTCCAATGTGGGAGAGGTCGTTTGGTGAGTGTCCTCAGGAGCAGATGGCTTTAAACCTGTCTGTATTTTGGCTATAAACTGTTTAGGAGGATGGAATTCTACTAGACTGACCGGATGAGTGGAATCCAACATGCAGTGCTGATGTGTTGGATTCTCTTCTCCTTATAGCATCTTTCTTACTGCTGCACTGGGTTTCCCCGAGGCTCTGATCCCAGTTCAGCTGCTCTGGGTCAACCTGGTGACAGATGGTCTGCCTGCCACCGCCCTCGGCTTCAACCCCCCAGATCTGGACATCATGGAGAGGCCTCCCCGCAACGCCAAGGAGCCGCTCATCTCTGGCTGGCTCTTCTTCAGATACTTAGCTATAGGAGGTCAGTTGTAATAGAATACTCTCTAACCTGTCTTCATGTACTTTGAGAAATGAAGTTGTTGGCTGAGTTTGATGATGATCAGGTTTTTGCTACTTTTGCTCTCAGGGTATGTGGGTGCAGCCACCGTGGGAGCTGCTGCCTGGTGGTTTATAATCGCTGACGATGGACCTCAGGTTACTCTGTACCAGCTGGTAAGTGTGTCTGTCTGGCAGACCATCTCTCAGCCTCTCTCCGCTCTCCGTCCCCCTCACTCTCCTAATTTCCTCCCCATAGAGCCACTTCCTCCAGTGCAACCCAGACAACCCAGAGTTTGAGGGCTTGGACTGCACCGTGTTTGAGTCGCCCTACCCCATGACCATGGCCCTGTCTGTGCTCGTCACCATTGAGATGTGCAACGCTCTGAACAGGTAAGTGCCTTTTAGAGCATGGAGCAGTTCTCATGAAAGGATCATTTGCACTCACAAGATGGAGAACAAACTGAATCACCACCTGTGTTCTGTCTGATCAGTCTGTCAGAGAACCAGTCCCTGCTGCGGATGCCTCCCTGGGAGAACATTTGGCTGGTGGGAGCCATCTGCCTCTCCATGTCCCTCCACTTTCTCATCCTCTATGTGGAACCTCTGCCTGTGAGGAGTAGTTTTTTCAGTCCTGATGTGATGTGATTTTAAAGCAAAACTCAGTTGAAATGATCGAGCTGGCTCCTTGGTGGTGCAGCTGCTGACTACAGGGCACATATGGAGTTTCAGGAGTTAGGTGGTTCTTGCTGCCCCTAGTGGGCACTGACTTGTCATCACTGCATCTTCTTGTCATATCATTTACATAAAGATATTCTTCATCATTTTGCCTTTTATTAAATAGGTCACAGTAGGGATACAGACAGGAAATGGTAATATATAGAGGGGTAGGACGTGCAGCTAATGTCTCTGGCTAGAATTATACCTGAGGTATATGTTTTAAAGTGGAAGTTCAAGGCCTTCATGTGTTATTAAAATGTTATTTGCTTAGTGGCAATCATGTCCTTACTGTAAATATGAAGCTCAAGTTTGCAGCAGGTTAGCTTATTTTAGAGACTGGGAACAGAGGGCAGCAGCTAGACTCCCATTCCTTATGTTAAGCCAACCATCTCCTGGCTGCAGCTTCATATTGACCATAGAGATATAAGCAAATCCATTTTTTTCAATTCACTTTCATCAAGAAAGTGAATAAGTGTATTTCCCAAAATGTCGGACTATTCCTTTAACTATGAGGCCACTCGCCAGACGTCCCGTAATGTTTAGGTTTATGTCTTCGAGGAGACTACACACATTTATAATCCTGTACAAAAGTAGCTGTAATGTTAACTGGCAGTTGTCATGCTCTCTCCCAGGTCATCTTCCAGATCACCCCTCTGGATGTGACCCAGTGGTTGATGGTGCTGAAGTTCTCTGTGCCTGTCATCCTGCTGGACGAGCTGCTCAAGTTTTTAGCCAGGAACTACTTGGAATTTGGTAAACAGCTGGAGAAGCCAGCCAGAAAAGGCGGCTCTCTGTCTGCATGTGTCAAGGGCATCTCCTGGCCCTTCGTCGCCATCTCCCTGTCCCTGGTGCTGTGGATCTACAGTGCCGACACTAATGTGCCCGCCATGCTGTGGCCCTGACTGACTCCAGTACACTACGCTCCTCGTGCACCAGTGTGAATTGGACATTAACGTACACGTCTAACACACTCCCATTAACTCGGAACAACTTACACTTGCACCTGCTCTGACAGTGCATGTGCTGTCAGACCTTTTGTATTTAAGACATATTTTACATTTACATATTTTTGGGTGGGTGGGGTTTAGTCATATTTTAATGACTCTGACATTAGGTCCATGTGTTTTATTCTTACCATCAGTCTTTTGTCTTTTGTTCCCCTGATTTGAACAGTTAGAGATGCTGTCCATGTCTGAGCTGTACAGAGAATTTACACTATTTTATAATAATTAATATTTTGTCATTTTTAGGAAGGGGTTTGGGTACAAGCTTGCTGGCTGTGAAAAGGATGTAACTGTGAGGACTGTGTAGTAATAATGTGGGCACAGCCTTGAGTATATTTGCCCCGGCATGAATCTCTGTAGTCCTTTTTTGAGCCCCATGCATCTCGTTCTGTCGTTATTTTCTGCATTAGGCAGAGTACAGCTACCTCGGTGCTGTTATGTCACCATTACTACCAACCAGTCTTAAAAACCATTTCACACATTACCATTTGAAGTGTTGAGGTAAGCACTGATTTATTTTGCAGTAGAGACAAAGCCCATTTAAATGCTTTTAAACATATTTCTGTAATTTGAGGGAAGAGAAGACAAAGACGTTACCAGTTTGATTCAGAGTAATTTTTGATACAGCTTGTCATTCAGTTTGTTTACTTGAAGAACACATTTGTCATGATTGTCATGATTCTGCTTTTTAAGTTCAATTTTTGAGCTTCAGTCTCAACTTTAAGTCTTAGTATTGCATCCTAATTACAGTCACCTTTACAATGTATGTAAAATGTGCACATACTGTACTTGAACATGTAAAAAAGGCACCAGGAAGCTCTTAGCAATGTGGAAGGTTTAATGAGAACTGAGACCTCTGAAAGGCTGATACTACCATCGCTGGACGAGGCTGTATATCTGTACATAGCACACACTGTACAATCTGTGTGTAGATTTACTTGTCGATGTTGTCAAAATGCTCCACACCTCACCAGTTCACCTACGCATGGTCTTAGCCTGTCTGCATGCCTGCTCCACTGTTACCAGGCCAGTGAGTGCTCTACTTTTTGTTTGTTTGTTTCTTTTAAAAACTAACTGTTGTTTCTTGTAACACTTTCCACCTGTTCACCTGCAGAGTGAGTCCACTTCAACCTGCATGCCAACTCCTAGTGCTGCACCATCTCCGTGGTTGCACACACAGCGCTGCAGTCTGTCATATGAAAATGACAGCAATAACAGCTCCTCATATTTTTGGTAGAACTGGCAGTTTATGGTACAAAAGAGGAGAGAATTATTGTGTTTGAGAGTTTGTTTCAAGATGCCTTCAGTGTCACCAAGTGCCAGGTACACGCTGAGAAGAACTAGGAGCCTTTTGCATTTTGAGCTGGCACAGTGTCACTGGTGACAGTTATTCCTGGCGGCATGTTCCAGCAACTGACAGAGACACTGACATTTAAGCGTTCCCACACCATTACAGGACATGGTGTTCCACTTTTCTTCAGTTGGATTTGTCATTGTCCTAATCTGCTTGTCCATAGCATGGCCTTTATTTCTCAGTTCATGAATGTAAATTGCTGCTCAGATGCTTTGATTTTGATGCATTAATTTGATTCTTCCTCTCTTTTTTTTGCAGCAAAGGCCAAGTAAGCCCAATGCTACTCTAAATTCCTTGCTGAAACTTTGGTTTTGTTTTGTGTTGTGCATGTGTGTTTTGGGCAGCACATCTTAAAGAAGCTGCATGTCAGATATGTAATATGAGGACAGGGGCTCGTAAAGTTCATTCATCATTTTTGTAGGACAGCCATAAATAAATGTCTGATGAAAACTAGCCAGTCCCATCTCATCAGTCCTCCCACCCCCCTGCATGAAGAGCCTTAGGTTATTAAATAATTCTTATATCATATTTTTAGAATAAGATTGTAATACTGTGTACAGTAAATTGTACATTACTCTATGGTGCATGTCCTCTAAATCAGCCATCTGTTTTACCAGACTTGTGTAATAGAATATGTATAGTATTAGTAAATAGAATAGACATTCGTCAGATAGTACAAATGTTAAATAAGCTCAAAAACACAGTTCATCTTTCCTAAGGAAATACTCTTATGGGATATTTAATATCCAAACAGACTGTCTTTTTTTTTTTTTTTTTTTTTTTGCTTTGCACTGAGACGTGCAACACGTTTGGAGCAGATTTTGCCATATCTGGATGTCGGACGTGCAGCAATGCAGTGATCCATACGTTTAACCGTGAGAATGGTGGGCAGTCACTCCGCTGGCATTTTTTGCCAAACTGCTGTACTGTATTTTCAGAGATGATTGTACAATGTATCACATGAACTTTGGTTTCAGGTAAATAAAAGTGTCATACATTGAAGTTACTGATTGTGTTTCCTGATGTCATTAAAACAATACTGAATGTAATGTCTACCACTAAGAGATTCTGGACAGCTCCATTCATATCAAGTGAATGTTTAATAAGTTTATTATACATTGTATTTAAAAAAATATGTACAAAACACTATCCAGTCCTGAACTGCTTAAATAACATTTCATAACTCAATCATGGGATTATTTTTTCCCATCAGAAAGGCAGACTTGGACAACACACACAAAAATATGCACGGTCATGACACAAAACATCAGAGAGGGACAGAATCAAATGAAGATACCATTTTAAAAAGCATCAGAAATATGGTACATCGTCTCCTTTTCACAGACTTCCTGTTTTCCTGTCAGAGACAAATAGTCTGGGCATATACATGATCTTTTACCATAATACTTTGACATCCACACTTTGTTTCTTCAGTGGCAAACCTGTGTCAGTGAGGCAAAAACAACAACTTAAACACAGCTTTACCAGTCTCTCCTGTAACAGATACCTGCCATGTGTGGCCTGAACAAACGTCCCCTATCACACCACTTGCTTCATCTTATATATTCCAATATACATCTTGCCAGGGAACAGTCCTCCCATAGACTGAGTGACTCAACCTTAAAACAGAATCCAAAGCAAATTAATATTAATATAATGCACTGACACTCACTTTGTAATTAGTATATTTCAGGTTGCCACATACTAGAAAGATGGAAGAAGAAAGTGCTGAAGAAATGGCCAAAATAGCTTCAGAGATAACGTTATAAACACTGATGTAGATATTCTCTGGGACAGGATATTCTGGTCCTGTCAGACTGTACTGGTCAACTGTATCACAGTGCCGATACAGAATGGGATGATATAATATCAGGTCAAAAATGCCAGTTATTCTGCACAAAACTGCATCTGTAGCTCCACTGCAAACCTGGCCATCATCTCAAACGTCATCAGTCACTTGGTGTTAACCTCTGTGATCATGTGAGGTATGCGGAGCAGTGCCAGTCCTTGTCCTGTCTGATGACCCTGAGGGCTGAAGGCTGACCTGGGGTCACTGCATACCAAACCACTGCTCCTGATCCGCCCACTGCGCTGCTTCACTGTCGCTGCCCTCCAGGTCTCCGTCCTCTCCACTGCCCTCCATGTCGTCTCCATCCAACTCCACCGTGGCATCTGTGGGACTCTCCTCCTTCTCCATCTTCTGCATGCCTTCTAAAGACTTCTGGTCATTGGGATCCAGGCTTAGGAAAAAAAAGACTGTGGTTTGAAAACAACATCTACAAGTATATTTCCTAAGATTAGATGTCAATCTAAAAATGAATTAAAAGTTACCTTAATGCTATGCTGTACTGATCCATTGCTTCTTGGTAATCATTGACAGCTACCAGAAAATCTCCCAACATCCTGTGCAAGACACAATCACTCTGATTGGCCAGGGCGTTCCGGAGGAGAGCGATCCCTTCTTCATATTTCTGTTCCCGGCCTTCACAAAAAAAAAACACTTTCATTTCCACCTGTACTCAGCTGAACCTTTTGTAACTGAATACATAGTGGTGCGAGCGTAAAAGGCAGATTAAAACTCAGTCTAACACTTGTACGTACTCAGCAGTTCTGCCTTTTTGACCACCGCCTTTGTGTAGTCGGGCCTCTGGGCCAGAGCTTTGTCCAACAGGGTTTTGGCTTTCTCCTGAGTCACAGGGTCTTCCAAGCAGACTGTGGCAAGGATGGTCAGAGTCTGTGCATTGGCCCCCAGAGTTTTATAGATGTTATTCGCCATCCCCATAGCCTCTCGAATCCCATTGGATGCCAGGTAACAGTCAATCAGACCTGGAAAAGGGACAGTTAATAGCAGTCAAAGCAAGCAGCGTAAATGTATACTACATCTGAAAGGAAAACCAAACATGCCTTCATAGCAGTCAAGTCGGCAGGGTGCCAGACGCATAGCCTCTCTGAAATGGATGATGGCTTCCTGAACTCGGCCCATGTTTCTTAGCGCTGCCCCCTTCAGGAGGAGAGCCTGCACACTGTTGCTGTTCAACTGAATGGCCTTTGCTCCCAGGTACAGTGCTCTGGAGTAACGCTTGCTATAAAAGCTGTGACAACTGAACAGACACATTCAAAGAATAAAGGAAAAAAAGAAACAGGAAAATTATATTTCATTATCAAAAAACTAGCCATTGCTTATCTATTGCACACTTGAAATGACATTTGCTTCAAGCTGCCCACTAAGATACTCACCCAGAGATCACCCAGGGTTCAGCATGTTGGTCTGAAATATTAAATAACCGCCCTCCCAGGACCTCAACATCCTCCAGGTGACCCTCACGAGCCATCAGATAGCCATAAACATCCATTCCTGCAAGTGCAAGCACCACATACAGTATGTTACCTGGACAACAGAGGCCCACATTGCCATGTCTTGTCTGGGGGTGCTTAGACTAATGTGCATCTTGAGCCCACAGCACTGACACTGACTGTAAATCAAAACATGAAGGTAAAATGGCAAAATACATTTAACAGTTTGTGACAGATGCTAGGTTTCTCACCTTTTATGAGGTATGGGTCCAGCATCTGGGCTTGTTCAAACTTCAGGATGGCATTTTTGGTGTCCCCTGCCCTGAAGTAGACATCTGCCAGGCTCACCAGGAGGTCCACGTTGTCCCGCAGCAGAGACTTCTTTTCCAGAGAGCTGAGGGAGGACAAGACAGGACAGAGGCACACAGCAAACACACAGAGTGTTGCATTAAACAGCACATTTAGTTGGCTGGTATACAGAATCAATTCTCTGCTCACCAAATGGTGTTGATGGCTCTCTGATTGTCCCCTGCATGTATGAAGGCATACGCTTTGATCCAAACAGAGAGCCAGTCCAGGTTGGGGATACTCTGGATCACATCCATAGTCATGGATGCTACTTCAGCTCCTTTGACTGACAGAGAGAGAAGACCTGGCAGGAAATGAACCTTGAAGTTTAATACAGAAGGCTTTTCACACAAAGGTTTACCTAACAGTGTAAACAAGTAGAATGCACATGCACACACACACACACACACAAGGACTTAGATGTGTAAATAGAGCAGACCCACTTAAACAGAAAAAGTCTCTCAGCAGATGAAATGCTGTTGGTTGGGCGAGTATACATACCAATGATGGCGTCCAGGGCGAGGGGACACTGTCTGAGAACCTCTTTGTAGCTTGTCACAGCAGAACGCTCCTGACCAGCCTTCCTGTACAGGTTAGCCAACATCATGTTGATCTGAGACAACAAAGAACGATGACATTCTTTTTAGCACCACATTCTTTAAAAACTCAGGAACTAAAAATATGCAGAATTAATGCAAATATCAGAAGTTACGTTTGCTTCTAATTGTTTGCTCTTATTTCTGAAAACACAATTAGAACAGTTTTTGCAGCATTAATCAAAACAAGCAGCAGCTGGAAAGTTGCTTTTTCTTCTAGTCATATTCCAGGTGTGACCTTTTTACAAAATTGGAATAAAAGGTTTGTAGGTTGTTGCTCAACATTTTCAGAAGTCTAATGCAGCCAAAGCTTTGGCTATAGCAATGCATACAGAGATCTTACCTCAGATAAAGCCATAATTACATATGCTGATTGGTCTGCATTAAAATGGGGCACATAAAGCATGGAAAAAGGTCATTAGTGTAGCTATGACTAGCAGCCTACCTTTGGAGTCCTTTGTCTGGATGGAATCCCATCAAGCACTGCAATAGCATCTTTATCCAGCTTCAAGATGGTGTAGCATTCAGCTATTTTGTACTTTACTTCAATTTCTGATGGCAGACTCTGAAAGACATTCAGTGAAATTGCACATGCAAGTCAGTTGTATGGATTTTTTTTTCTCAGAAAAAAAAAAGCTGCCCACGTGGGCAGCAACAGTGACGCCTGGAGGGGCGTGATTGGGAGGAACGGCCCCCCGATCTGAACCCGAGTAGTGTCTTGTTATTGGACTTCTGTGTGTGCTAGCCACAGTTTGTCCATAACGAACACCATGTTCAAGCATAAGGGTGTCCATCAGTGCACATGGCAGGGCACTGCTGGTGGTGAGCTGGATCCGATGGCGGGGGAGGAAGCTGGACAGACTCGGCAGACCCAAACGTATTGTGAGGGTCTGTTGGGAACGTTTAGCAGAATCCCGTCAGAGAGATCTTTAACTCCCGCCTCCGACAGAGCTTTGACCAGATCCCGGGGGAGGCTGGAGATATTGAGTCCGAGTGGACCATATTCTCCACCTCCATTGGCAATGTGGCCGTTCAAAGCCGTGGCCGTAAGGTCTCCGGTGCCTGTCGTGGTGGCAATCCCCGAACCCGGTGGTGGACACCGGAAGTAAGGGCTGCCGTCAAGCTGAAGAAGGAGGCC